ATTTTTCATACGTTGTAGCAAGCTTGATTAACTATTTTATGGATAATCCGGATCATCTGGACAACTTGTTTGTGACCTCCAGTGTGCATAATTTGGCCTCAATGCCAAATTCAATCAGATAACACATCTACAAGTGCTTGCGCAAAAAAAACATGGGGCTCTAGGACCAGTTTAATTTATTTACCTCTTTTACGGATGTTCCGGATCTTCCGGAGGACCAGACTGTGATCATCAATATTCTGGCCACAATATGAAATTAATTCGAAAAACACATAAACAAGAGTGTTCGCAAAACAAAAATGGAGCTCTAGAAACAGTTTAATGAATTGACCACTTTTACGCATGTTCCGGATCTTTTAATGGACTAGCTTTAGTCCTCCAGGGTACATATTTGGACCAAAACCCCATATTTTTTCTTAAAACTCACCAATAAGTGCTTCCGCTAATAACTACGCAGCTCTAACTCCAATTTCATGAATTTACCACTTTTACGGATGTTACGGTGTCCCCGCTGGAAGACTCATTGTACCAAAAGAAGGACAGTTAACAATTTCCCCGAAGATACCAGGAAGTTATCTATTCATATAACTTTAATATCAGAGTTTTCTTGACAGTATATATTTTTTTTTTTTTTTTTTTTTTTTTTTTTTTTTTTTTTTTTTTATAGTCACTTTAACGCTCTTGGGTCATTCGTGACTTGTCCGGGGGTGAGATTTGAACTCGTGACTTTGGCGTGAGAGGTATGGATGCTAACCACTACGCCGGGGTCGCCCCCATTGACAGTATATAAATTTAGATTCATTCATTTAAAACCGACCATGACATTGATCCGTGTTCATTATAAATCAAAACTAACTAACTTATCCGCGTTCCATTTCTTCGATTACGACGAAGGAATGTTTCTTATGTACCTAGCTGCGCTGTGCTACTGCCAGAGTTGGTGCGGCAGAAACATGACGTTTGCGATTCCTTATGTATCATCCACTGCTTTGTATGGATCTGTACGGCAATGTTGTGCGGTAGACACGAAGAGAAGATATGTGCAGTTCAAAGTTGTATACAATCATTGAACGCGTTATACGGTGAACAGTTGAGATCGTTTTTTTTTTGTGCAACCATCGTTCTTCGTTTTGTTCATTCATTTGGTGCTATATGCTGAATACTCTTATTCGGCAAAGGTGTCTGACACTTCACTCATTTGTGAATATCTATTCATGACCAGTTACAAACCTGACTCACGGTAGTTCAATAGCATGTTGACAGATTTCCATACACTGGCGGACATGCTCCGGAACGCTGAACTTATCCTTGGCCGTGAAAAACAGGTTGCCGGGGATCTGTTTGAAGTCGGCCTTCACATATGTTTCGTCGTCCATGATGCAGCATTCAACTTTCGTCAGCATGTTGAGGTACAACTTCCTGGCACGGGTTTTGGCGGACTTGTTCTGCTTCTCGTCGCGATTAGGGGCATTTTGTACCTTGAACGTTCGAAGCCCAGCCTTTGTTTTGGCCTTCTGGACAAAACTTCGGCTTAGGTGCAGCTTCTTAGCCACATCCCTAACGGAGGCGTTCGGATTTCGGTTGAAGGCCCCAACTACGCGGTTGTGATTTTTGGTGTTGTACGGAATATTTTTTCCTTCACTTCTGGGCTTCCGATCGGTGGTCAACCGTTCCTCGAACCGCTTAATCACTCGCGACACCGTGGAATTCGCGATTCCCAACGTTTTAGCGATGGAACGATGCGAGAGATCCTTGTTCTCGTGATGAATGCGCAAGATTTTATCACGCACGAGCTGTTCTTTCGACTCCATTTCCGCGAGTTTTGATCACAGGACTTTAAAACTTGCAGGATGTAAATAATGCACTATGAACTAAATCCACTCAAATTTTCATTAAATTCTACCCAACGGTTAAAAAGTTAGAGCAATTTCATAGTGTGGCAATTTCATCGTGGACACCCTTTAGCTACCACCCTTATGTGATCTCAGTGCTATCTGTTGATGGCACATTGAAACTGTTGGGAGTTCCCCGCCAACTTTACCACCAGGGCTCAATAACTGTCAGGTGTCATCATGAGAGATGTCAACGCGGACGTTGATGATCAGCCGAAGCCGAAGCCGAGGGAGGAGGACGATATCATCCTCGAAGTCATCATCATTAAATTACTATAGCAAGATTCTTACTTGTTTGTGATTGCTTCGATTTTCAGTCATTACCACTTTATACGCAACAGAAACACTTGAGAAGACAATCACATATCCAAGCGCGCATCATGATGTGCTTGTAATATGGTTTGCTTTCGAGTGAAAGAGTTTCCAATATACCACCTAATAGTAATTGATGATTTACGGAGCTGTTGTTCAACATAATCTTAATAAGCATAGAAGTAAACATAGGAAACCCTTTCTCTTAAGAATTATTCCAACACCCCAGCTACTGGAAATGCAACGTATCGAAATCATTGCTAAACGTAATAAAATATGTCGTCTTCTTTGGCCAACGCAGCACGCAAAAATTACGTTGGAATAAACATTACTTTCCTATTTTATAACGTATGAAGTATTTGACAACGCCGGTGAAAACAAACGCAAACGGGAGTAGCCGAAGCTAAATGATGACGATGAGTGATGACACTGCTTCGTGTTTTGATTTGCGCTGTATCGTCCGCTCAGTTGTGTGGGTTCGTACATGTACACTCAGGTCTTTTTTTACACGGGGGATACGTACCGTGTAAAAAAAAACCGTGTAAAAAAAAACCTAGGAGATTTTGATTTTTCGCATGTTTAAATGTTTTTAAAAAATCGGATTTTGATGCCATTTGTAATTAAAGCATGATATGGTCCATACAGACATATTTTAAAAATTTGTGTATTTACACCAAAAATTGTGATTTTTTTCTAAGTATGCCATTCGATTACCTATAGCTTGAAACGGATAATGTGATTGGAATCAAGTGGATAGGTTGTACCGTTGTCGAGAAATCGTTAAAAACGTACCGTGTAAATCGTGGAAAACCGTGTAAAAATAACCGTGTAAAAAAAAACCACGTAAAAAAAAACCGTGTAAAAAAAGACTTCAGTGTATAGATGTTGGTGTGCGTGTTTTCTTCCAACGCAGCAGTTCAACGTTGTCTCGTCACAAACCGTTTGGCGCTATTATCTGTCTCTATAAATTCCAAAGAGTGAAGAGGGTCTGCTAATAGGCTACCTTTAAAAATTACGTCAATCAAACCGTTGGTTTACATCAGAATAAGGATTTTTCGCAACGCAAATGAAGGCCTTATTCATTGAACATCTTGCCAATATCCATCGGTAATTGTCTTATTTTTCGATTTTCCACATATCTGAACTATTTTTGTTTGTTTTATTATTGTTTTATTCGATAAGGCTCAGTCGAATTAACTTTACAAATCTGAAGATTCTTGTTCACTATACAAAACATTGTAAAACTAGAGTCAAATGGTACAACACAATAAACAATTTATCTTCCGCTATCAATAAGCCTTCTCCATCAGAATAGGATCCACTTCGAGTGGTTTCATTGTATGGCAGTATCACCAACGGGGAACAGAGCGCTTTCATTGTAGCAATGGACGCAAAACGTGGTCATCACTCACACACTCATTACGAAATGGTTGCCTTTCAAAGTCGACGACGCATCGATCAAAAGAACAACCAGCAGGACCACACAATGGTTGCTGCCGAGTAAACATACGATAGATCTATTTAATGCACCACCAACCTACGTGCGCCACACGAGTTCGAGAGGAAACGTCAACCAAACCGTTTGTTTACATCAGAATAAGGATTTTTCACAATGCAAATAAAAGCATTTTTCATTGAACATCTTGCCATCAGTAATTGTCCTATTTTACGATTTTCCACAAATCTGAACTTATTTATACCTCAGCTATTAACACACAAGAATTCCGGAAGATCAAGGCACTAATCTAATTTTCAATTTTTCTCATCAAAAATACTCCTGTACACCAGCAGGATCCTTTCAAGAACGGTACAAAATTAAATTTTCCAAACTATAGATCAAGTTTTCGAGCATCTCAGATGAATAAATTTATCAGGAAAAGTGAAAAAGTGTTCCGCTTCCTATGTACCACGGTTCATTGGTTAAAATATCTACTCACAACATTATTTTTTGTGTTCTCCTACTCACCACCAGAGGCTGAATCTATCGCTTAGTTTCTATTAAAAAGGCGTATCGCGTGACACACATCGAGAGTGGCCTGCTTCAGAGACGTTGAATAGAGACACGCAAGACTAAGGCAAGAAGAAGCAAACGAACTGTCAAACGCTGAACCAAACGAGCAAAGTAAATAAACATTACTGTTCGCTCAATAAGGCTGTCCACAAGACAGTTGCGATCAGCTGACTTTATTGTTTACCAAGAACTTTTGACAGATCACAGTAGACCTGGCAGTTTATTTTCATATGAATTTCTGCTTTGCTTATGTTGACATTCAGCACCATTAACACCAGATCACTCACACACTCTAGATTTACCGCTGTCAGTTCCACTGAGAAACGTCTCTTGGATCACCTTATTTACCAGAAAGGAGTATTGTGCTCAATGATGAAAAAAGTGTTTAATTATTTTCACGAAATATTTGATATCTGTTATATATTTATTTATTGTTGATTCAAAAAATACAGCATTTATTAGTGATTAAAAACTATTTCAAATCGGAACGTTTCATTTAGTTTTGTTAATAAAAATGATTGCGCTGCAAGCAAAACAGTAAAATATGACAAAATTTATACTGTCATGGAGCGACTGGCATGCTTATTTGATCGAACTTCGTACGGCGCATGGCTTCTCAGCCTAAAGGTAACTGAAGTGTTCTTCTCAAAGAATAAAGAAAGTTTGAGTGCTTCTAACTATACGTTTATTCAGGTTGACATCTACACTTCGAATCCTAATTTTTCCATCTCGGTCGCAGCTGTAGGTTGCTGCGATTACTTGAATGGAACATCTCCCCTCTTAATTCATCCAGTACTCCTCGAATCTAGCTGGTAAACGAGTCTGCCGGTGTTCCCTTGTTGCTGGCGGAACTGGTACTGGATCTTGCTGTGGTGGATTGTCTGCCTCACTATCATCCGGAAAATACTCCGCCTCATCACTTCCAAGCTCTTCATCAACTGGACCAAGTTGGTAGGGCACTGCAGCCCGACGTCTAGGCCAAAACCGTCGAAGAATACCGATAACAGACAAGGACCTTGGCTTGGACTAGGATCACGACCAGATTCGACCGCACGTTGCTTCAGTTGATTGGCATGAGAACGGATGAGCCGCTGATTATCCTCCAGGAAAACGTTGTAGTTGACTTTTCCGACACGCTCGATTACTGTGGCAGCCTGCCATTTCCAGGAATTTGCTTGATGGACTTGAGCATATACAGCATCACCCGGAAAGAACTGCCTCGAAATCGCTCCATGCTTCTTGTTGAAACGCTTGTTTTGCTCGTCCGCTTTCGGTTGTGCTGCTGATGTACGGTTGTGTTGCGGTAGTAGCATTGACGAAACTGTGCGGACCGGTCGTCCGAACATTATTTCTGCAGGAGACTTTTCACCTAGGTCAGCCGTTGGTGTTGACCTGTAAACTTGCAAAAACGTCTGCAATGCTTCCTCCAGTGTGTCTCCTCCCGATCGAATCTTCCGAAGAGTGCGCTTCAAGGTGTCCACGAACCGTTCTGCTAACCGATTTGATTGAGGATGGAATGGTGCTGTGCGGACGTGGTGAATGCCTTGATTCTCACAGAAATTCTTGAACTCGTAGCTGGTGAACTGGGTACCATTATCTGAGACGATGGTTTCTGGCACGCCAAATGTTGCGAACGTTTGAGTAAGTAGCTTGATTGTTGTTCTTGTCGTTGTGGTTTTACTTGCGTATACTTCGGGCCATTTGGTGTACGGGTCGACAATTACCAGGAAAAATACGCCGTCCATAGGTCCTGCGTAGTCAATATGGATGCGTGACCACGGCTTATCAGGGATGGGCCACGATTCAAGCGTTGTTTTGACTGGTGCTTTTCCAGCAGTGCAGCAGGGAGTGCATCGCCGGACGAAATTCTCGATGTCGTTGTCGATTCCGGGCCAGTAAACGAAACTGCGTCGTGCAACAGACTTCATTCGTACCATGCCGGGATGTCCGCGATGAAACTGCTTCAGGATTTGCCTTTTGAACTTGCTCGGAACGACTACCCTGTCGTGGAATAGTATACAGCCATCGACGTTGGTGAGAGACTCCCGCCTGTTGAAGCAGACTCGAATCTCTGGATCTTCGACTGATCGTGCATCGTTTGGCCAACCCTCACGAATGAACTGCAGCACCGCTTGTAGTGGTTCATCTGCCTGTGTTGCACTTTTGATGTCTGTGAACGAAACTGGTACCTGCTCGATAGTGTTTTGAATAATGCTCACCATGTCTTTTTCTAGGGATATCGCTGCCACAACATACTCCTCTTCTTGCTGCTTGGAACGGTCGATGAGTCTTGACAGCATATCGGCGCATCCGAAGTCGTTGGTAGACACGTGCCGAATGTCGAAGTCGTAGTTGAGAAGCATCAATGCCCATCTTTGAAGTCGATTTGCGGTGTGCAAAGGAATGCCCTTCTTCGATCCAAAGATTTATAACAGCGGTTTGTGATCCGTGAGCAGAGTGAATCTGCGCCCAAGGAGGTACTTGTGAAACTTCGTTACCGCATATATTAGTGCAAGTGCTTCTTTTTCCGGCTGCCCGTAACCTTTCTCCGCTGGAGTGAGGGATCTTGATGCGTGCTGGATTGCCTTCAGATGTCCATTCGAAAATTCATGGAAGATGACTGCACCGATGCCCGTGCTGGAGGCGTTCGCTGCTACGATGATTGGTAACTTCGGGTCGTAATGCGTCAGCAACATATCGGACTGCAGGACTTGCTTGAATTGCTCAAAAGACAGTTGGCAATCGGAATTCCACTGCCACTTCGAATCCTTCTTGAGTAATTGGTCGAGAGGATGACGAAGTTCATGGATGTTGCGCACGAATCTGCCGTAGAAATTAACGGCTCCCAGGAACGATCGCACTTCGGAAACATTGGTGGGTGCCGGAATAGAGGCGATGGCTTGAAGCTTCTCTGGATCCGGACGGATGCCGTTTCGATCGACGATATGTCCCAAATATCTGATTTCGGTTTGGAAGAAATGGCACTTTTCCAGCTTGACATGGAACCCATTTTCCCCTAGACGTTGTAGTAGCTTGTCTAGTGACGCCTTGTGTTCCTCCCAGGTTCTTCCGAAGATGATAGCGTCGTCGAGAAACGACTGAACACCAGGCTGGTCGGCTATCATGCTGTCAACCAGTCTTCGGAATGTTCCAGGCGCTGACTTCACCCCTGGAGCGAGCCGGTTGAATTGGAAGAGGCCTCGATGCGTGTTTATGGTGAGGAGCTTCTTCGATTCTTCATCTACTTCCACTTACAGGTATGCATCGGAAAGGTCGATGATGCTGAATATGGTGCTTTCGTTGAGCTGTGCGAAGATCTCCTCCGGGGTAGGTAGAGGATAGTGGTTTGCTTCAAGCGCTTCATTGAGTCCCGTGGAGTAGTCCGCACAGATGCGAACTTTACCATTCGGCTTGCGTACTGCTACAATCGGAGCGGCCCACTCTGAGAAATCGATCGGCGTGATGATTCCCAGAGACTGAAGACGTGTTAATTCTGCATCCACCAGCGGAATCGTGTTGAACGGAACTGGTCGCTTCGAACAGAAAACTGGTTTGGCGTTAGGTTTGAGGAATAACTTTACCTTGGTTTTCTTGCAGTGGCCCAGCGAGTCGTCGAAAACCGCCGGATGCTCGGCTTGCAGCTGTGTTCTAGCTTCGGCGAAACATGGTCTGGATACAGTAGAAACTTGATTGCAGAGAGTATCGAACGGAACCGACCACAGGTTGAACATGTCGATCCAATCAATACCCATTACGTTGAGATCTGGTGATGACGTTACGAAACACTGACCACGCTTGACCATGTCATTGAGGACTGCTTCACAATGGAATTCTCCGATGAGAGCGAGTGGTCCACCAGATGCGTTGGAGGCTTCGATCGATGATGGAGTTAGCTTTGGTCGTCTCAGTTGCTGACAAGTTTTCTTGGAAATCACCGTGATATCACTTGCAGAATCCAGTTGTAGCGAAGTCATGACGCCGTTGATGATGATGGTCACATACTTGCGTTTCCGGTTGCTGTTTGCGATGTGCTTCACGAAAATTCCCTTGGCTTGAGATCTGGGACCGACCTTCTTCTGGAACTGCTTCTTCTCTCGAGGTTGAGTTGAAGAGTCGCTTGAAGACTTCTTGATGCAGCTACAGTAGCCTTCTTTATGACCGATGCGGTTACATACCTTGCAGAGATGATCAGAAAATGGACAGTCACGGACGTAGTGCATCTGACCACACTGCCAGCATGGAGTACGAGGAGTGGACTTGCTTTCCGTTTTCAGTGGACGATGCTGGTTTCCGGGTTTCTTCTCCGAAATGCTATGGACCGAATTCTTCGAACTTGATGGATGTTCGATCATCGTAGTGTCCGACTTGATGTTGACGAGCCGCTGGAACTCGTCGATCAGAGTTTGAATTGTCACCGGAGCATCAGCCGTTTCACCTTCAATCCGGGATAGAAGCCTTGCTTGAATGTCCGCTTAGCGTGGTGCTTTGAGACCACAGACGAAAATCAAGCGCTTGAAGTGATCAATCTTCAAATTCTGGAACTCGAACTCTTCACATGCCCTGTTGACTTTTCCGCCATAGGTAATTATGTCGTCGGCCTCGGACTTGAGTAGCTTCATGCACTGGTAGCGTTTGTGGAATACGGAAGTCTGTCTGCCGAAGATCTTTGTGAGTGTCTTGACGTTGACGTTGACTGTGAGAGGACGTGTCCAACTTCAGGAGCAGGAGCCTAACTTTTGCTGCGTCGTCCAGACTTCGTGCGTCGCTTTAAAACAAATCCGAGTAACGGGCAAACCATTTTTCGAATGTGGTGCCGTTCTCCGGATCGAAGCAGAACTCGCTGATGTTCGTCGACAGGGATTCCAAAACTTGCTCTGGGTTCGTTGCTTGTGGAACGGCCAACCGCTGGAGAAGCTGCAAAATCACTGCTTGGAGTTCTTCGTTTGTCGCCGCCATCCTTCCTCGGTTCGATTCTGGAATTTCTTGAACTTGTGAGCTTCCAGAAAAATCCTCGTCGCCAACTGAAGTGTTCTTCTCAAAGAATAAAGAAAGTTTGAGTGCTTCTAACTATACGTTTATTCAGGTTGACATCTACACTTCGAATCCTAATTTTTTCCATCTCGGTCGCAGCTGTAGGTAACAGTAACGAAACGCTTTATTCAGTTCCGGTCCATTCAAATTTCCTCAACAGCATTGCGGCACTGTATAAAAGTCATTTGAAGCCACTCGAAGAAACATGGTTGCTAGTGACATTGCCAAAAGATCCCTCAAAAACCGTGCTGCTGTTGTTGTCTATCACCGTCTCTGGCCTGCTTCTGTCGACAGCCGAGTGAACACCAGGGGGTAGGTCACTCTGCCCCTTTGTGTCTGTGCTTATTGTGTTTCATGTGTGTTTTTGAGTGCCTGAAGGTGTTTCTGGGTGATGACCGAGCTGTCAAAACTTCTACCCAAAAACTATATTTTCTGGCAACCATATCCTCAACCATAACATAACGTTGAAAATGACAGCGCCCTCTGCGAATCCTTTGCTGTTATTTGTTTAATGAAAAAGCAAACCCGACGCGAAATTATTTGGAGCAAATACCACCGACAAACCGACATGAATGATCATACAAAGTATCATCAAATTTCTGATCAAAGCACAAAACTGACATCTGCCGTCTTGTTCGCGAAAATTGTGTACTAAATATATGAGTTGGTTCGTGTCTAATCTATTCCGGGCAAATTATTTTTATCTAGATAACAAATTTATATGGTTTTGACAAATGGGATCGCTGCACATCCGCCGTTATGGATTCTCGATCAAGAGTTAAGTTTTAGGGTTTTAGTTTCATGTCGGTTTGTCGGTGGGGCCGTGATTGGGCTGCTGCTGGTGAGAACCTACGATTTACAAACTGTTCCGTTGCGTTTGTCTTGGTTTTCTTGCGAGACATTTACCTTTTTTAGCATCTGTAACTCCTGATGCTGCTGCTTTCGTGGATCCCAACCTGTTTCGGATTTCCTTTTCTTTATTTCAATCCAGTTCCAGAATTTTTTTTTTTTTTTTTTTCTTTACCGGCAGGATGGTACGACATTTTTTGGCTAGTTTTTTTTCTGAACAACAAAATAACAATCTAATGTAAACAGTATTTGCAGTGGTTCGATGAAAACTTGCGAGTGTTATGTCTGTTTGTCTGTGCTACCTTCTTCGGGTATGGAGATTTTAGTTCAAGTAGTCCCAAATTGGGTCCATATTCAGAGTCCTCGTTGGATTGATTTCGTACCACCAAAATCTACTCCAGAAGATCCTTCCACAAACATGTTTTCCCAGCTGTACTCAGCGTCCAGGGTGTTTCTTCGCGGCCAATTTTACACAATGCTATCGGTTGGTTTTTCCGAGAATATTTTTCACAATGCTATCGGTTGGTTTTTCCGAGAACAATTATTGGACAAACTACTCTGGTGTAGGGATTTAAGCTGGATGCAACATTAGAAACTAGCAGTACATCATCATACAGAATTTCAATTTACTGCAAAACGTTGAAAAAAGCGTGGAATTATGGTACTTCACGGAAAATCAAGAGGAAATTATAACATCAAAGCAAATGTATTGTCGGGCAAAATTTCTAAAGAGCATAACCAAACACGCTGTATTGTAGTACGATATTTATTATTCCTATGTCTAATGTACACAGTAAAGATATCAAGTCAACATGAAAAAAAAAATTGCTTCGATTCGCAAATTAAAAAAAATAATTAAAGATTCTAAGTCGATTTCTACAGACTAGGTATAATAATTCATGACTGCCTGTCTGTCTACATATATAGTATATGAATACACTTATGAAACATGGTCAATACGCAAATCCACCCGAAGCGAATCCACTAGCTCCCGTCGTCCTCATCCATCTGGCCAAATTGATTGCCAGCACTGATCAAACCCTTCTCCTGAATTGCTGCCACAACGGCCGTCTCGAGCAAATCCATGCCCTGCTGATGATGGTCCAGATCCATTCGACGTCCCTCGGCACCATCTCCCATCGATCCCGAACCGCCTGCCGCCCCATCGCCATCTTCCGCATCGTCTCCGAGCGGCTGCACGGGTTGCAATCCTCGTTCGCTGATAGCGGCCATTATTGCACGGTCTTCTATCATTTCCGCTTCTGGCTGCTCGGGTTCCATCTCGGCTTCCTCCACCGGATCGGCTACCACCCCTTGTGCCTCCACTCCGTAGTGGCGTGTTTCGAAAAAGTTCAAATACTGCTCCAGCACCATGTTGATGGTGTTGTCCTCAATGCACGCTGCGATTTGAGCCTCCTGCCAGCTGGCCAAATCCGGTGCCATTCCCGGACGCATGTCCACTAGAGCAGGCTGACGCACGTTG